ATAAAAAGCTGAGCAGGCAGAGGCACAACTGTCACAAAAAAGGGGGACCCAGGCTTTTGGGGTGACAGTGTGTTGGCACAGAAGCTACCATTGCCGAAGTCTTCCAGCCACAGATCCCAAGGCAGGAATCCCACTTCTTTCTTCCCTGAATTCTTTCAGGTGGGGGGGCTGAAGTCTTTTCCTCTGGGCCAGGGGTGGGGAGGGCAGTCAGGTGACAGTTGCTATTCAGGGTTGTACTTGATGGGAATACAATGGATATGTAGCAGCTGAGGTGGGGGTGGGGACATCTGAGAAGAGAGAGAGAGCTAACACTGAGGTGTTTTGTCTCTGGCCAGGAGCTCAGAGCTAATAAAAAGAAAAGAATTACAGACTTCTTGGTACTAATTCCCAGAGTGGAGGAGTGTTTATAATAGGAAAATGCATCTGAGTCAGCAGTAGGGAAAGGGCAAATAGGAATGGATGCACAACCCTGATAACCATGCCAGCCTTTAACACGGCTACACTTTTATTCTCTATGTGTCAGAAGATTGTAGTGACTTTCTCTGAACACAAAGAGCAGCAGGTCTCACGTTTCTTAGTGGCATTGGCTGCCATCTTGAAACAGCAAAACAGGATTCTTAGCAGCTCCACGGGCCTCTCTCGACCCACGTGTTCAAAGTCATCATGCAGTGCTTTCATGGCAGACAGACAGCAAGCATTTATTAAGCACTTACTGTATGCTAAGCACTGTGCTAAGGGATACAAATATAAGCAAAAAGAAAGTGCCTATCCTCAAGGAGCTTACATTCTAACGAAAGAAGACCACACAAAAGAGAGCTAAAAATGTAGTGGGGAAGAGAAGGATGCCTACGGGTGCATGGCAGCAAAGTCCAGAGAAGGGAATGAAGGATGACTGGCCTGGGCTTCCCCTCAAAGTAGAGGCCAGAGTAGCAGTAACCATCAGGCACCACCAGCTGCTTCCTGGTATCTTTCATGGCACAGCTCCAACTGCAGCATTATCTCAATAAGCAGGTGCCTTTTGGGGATGGAATGTTAGACTTCACTGACTGTTTCTTGGTTTGCATCATTTTAACCAGCCATCTGCTCTCACTGCCATACATTTACAGACAACTGAGGCAAGAAGGTGGTTTCAGTGAAACAAGGTACTAATGTATGCAGGCAACCCACTGGCTGATGGCAATCCCTTGTGGCAAGCTCCTTATGACACTTCCATTTGAATGTGGCCCAGTCACTGGGACATCACATGTGGCTTTTTTTCCCTAGGTCTCTGGCTTTGGTGTCATGTGACTTTTGGAAGTGAGCGTTCACATCCATGTAGGTCTTCCCTGGTGGACATGGCACTCATCGAAATGTCAGCAGATTGTCAGTCTACACTTTCACTTAGCTCCACACACAGTCTTCAAATTTTTCAGTAACAGCTCATTTCAAAGCCAAAAATTCCAGCTTGTGAACGGCATAGCAAGTCTCATTGCCCCTAAGTCGTCTGCTGGCAAATTGATTTGGTTTATTGTCCCAATCAGCCTCCCTTATCTGCAGGAGGAGGATTCTGTGGCTCTGCAAAGTCTGAGCCACAAAATTTTAATCTGTAACAAGAGTCACTAAGACAGAGCTCCAGGCATGTTCAATTTGTTAGGGATACCAGTAGTCCCCTATTAATTGGGCCCAAGACCTTTCTCAGAGTCAGAGACCCCTCCCCTTAGGTGCCAGCTACTCTTATACACTTGGGAAACCATAGAAATAGGTGTTACAATTCACAGAACTGTCAGTTCCAGAAATGGGGAAATCTTATGGTTGGCTAAGGGAAATGTCCATAAATCGTAACCACTTTGTCAACAGAACTTTCACAGGTCATCAACAGAGGTCAGCTCAGCAGAGACTTTCCAAAGGTCATGAAACCCCTTCAACATTTTGGGGCCTTCCACGATTCATAAACCCTAGTGTTTGAACAACTGTATTCTTGGGACCAAGGAAGTTGTGGGTTTGAAGTAAAGGCCGCAAAGGAATGAATGGATGGTAGTGATTCGTAGGGGTGAGGGACATGGCACTAGTGAGTGAACCTTACTACAGCCCATTACAGGGTGGGAGAGGGCAGTGAAGCAATTACATTCTTATTACATTTCTAACTGATGATAGCCACACCCACTGACCCAGAGATTCCACTAAAGATAAACACTAATTAAGTCAATGACAAAACAGAAAGGCTCTACACACAACAAAATATTGATAGCAGCACTTTCTGTAGTAGCCAAAACCAAACAAAAACAAATAAACCCCCCCCAGATTTCCAACAATGGGGAACGGCTATAAAGCTGTGGTACATGAATGTAATGGACTACATCTGTGCTCTAAGACACAATGAAAGTAGGACAGTGTGAGCAGGTTGAATTTATTATATGCTTTTTAAAAAGCAGCTACACATGGGAGACTTAGGATTGCCCATAGGCCCATCTTCTTCTGATCTGCTTTGTATATGGAAAGGCTCATTTTGGGGAAGTGTTTAAGCTCAGAATAAAATAGAATTTTAAATTATTATGATAAAGACAGAGAGGTGAGGGAAGAGTTGAAGTGAAGTGACACAAAATGAAACAAACTAGGTAAACAGAATAATTGAACTGAATGCTGTGAAATGATGGTCGATTCTGGCCTCAGATATAATAGTAGCTCCGTTGTATATATGACTTCAAAGCATTTTACAAAAACCACCTCACTCAAGCCTTACAACAACCCTCATTTTACAGGGGAGGAAACGGAAGGCCCCGTCACAGAACCTCCAGGGATCTGAGGCAGGGCTTGAATTCAGGTCTCTCTGACTCCAAATCCATGTACCTATGAGAAAGCACTTCTGTGCAGAGGAATGATTGGGGGGCAGCTAGGTGGCACAGTGGATAGAGCTCTGGCCTTGGAGTCAGGAGGAACTGAGTTCTTGACACTCACTAGGTGTGTGACTCTGGACAAGTCACTTAACCCCAAATGCATCACCAAAAAAAAAAAGCAGAGGAATGATTGGGGTGGGGTGAGGGAGGGGAAAGCAACAAAACTGTATGGAACACAGGGAGCCTCAGACTTTTTGATATTTTGGTCTATAGCTGAGCTGCTTTTGTTCCTCTCATCACTCGTCAGGCAGAAAGGCTTTCTGGGATGGGCGGGGGAAGAATTCCTTGGGAAAAGTGATGTACAAACTAAAGGTTTCAATAAAAATTATTTTAAAAGAATGAGATGCTTTATCAAATGCTTTACTAAAAAAGTAGGTAAATGGTATCTCCAACATTGCCCTGATCTACCAGTTTGGTAATTCCACCCAGGATCATCAGTCTGGCATGACTTGCCCTGGATGAAGCTGTGATGGCTTGTAATCTTTGCTTCCCTCGGTATTCACTACCCATCTCTTTAAATCTGTTCAAAAATTTCCCCAAGAACCAACCTTACTGGCCTATAGGTGCACACTTGTGCATTTCTTATATTGTTTTTGGAAGCCAGACTTTCCTCTTTCTTTAGTTTTATAACATCTCCTGTTCCTAAGTCTTTCAACTCTGTCTCTTGGTATTAATCACACCTGCTAGTTCTTTATTGAGCCTTACAGAGGATCTGGGCCAACTGAATTACCCAAGGACTGAGAGGTGCTCTTTTCCCACACCCACTTTTTATCACCCACTTCTATAAGCCCTTTGTGTTCTGACCTTTCCAATCCAAGGGCCAAGCAGCATTAGAATCCTCCCTTGTCGGTCTTTAATATCCCATCCTTGCCAAGATTCTACCTCTTCCTTGACTATCTTCTTTCCTTCAATATGTCTTAAGAAAAAACAATAAACCAAAGACACAAACCCTTTTCTATTATTCCTCACGTCTACTTCCTGGCTTCCTTCAAGTCTCATCTAGAGCTCTACATTCTACAAGAAGCCTTTCCTGATCTCCCTTAAGGGCGGTGCCTTCCTTCTGACCTTCTCTCTAATCTATCTGATCCACAGTTTATTTATACCTAATTGTTTGCAGGTAGGTTTCCCCTATCACACTGTGTGCTCCTTCAGGGCAGGAATGTTGTTTTGCATTTCTTTCCATCTCCAGTTTTTTGCACAGTGCCTAATACCAGTTTTGTCCAGTTGTGTCCAACTCTTCATGAGCCCATGGACTTGTTTTCTTGGCAAAGGTACTGGAGTGAGTTGCCATTTCCTCCTCATTTTACAGATGAGGAACTGAGGCAAATAGGAATTAAGTGACTTGCCCAGGGTCACACAATTAGTGTCTTGAGGTCAGATCTTCCTGACTCCAGGCCCCTGCTCTATCCACTGCTCCACCTAGCATACTGCAGGCACTTAAATGCTTGACTTGGCCGCTTTCCTCACTAGGCTTAGCTTATCCTCAATTTTTGCACATTGGAAATTATTCCTACTAGGCTATGCCATGGTTTTGTGACCCTTATCTATTACCTGCCCTTGCTTATATCTTCTGTACATATCTTTTACAAATCTAAGGTGCCACGTTCTGAAAACATTAGTGTCGTCTAATAACTCCTGCTTTATTAGAATTGTTGCCCTTTTGTGCCCTGAGGAATTTCATTCTTGAGTTTCCCAATCCCCTCCTAAGCTTGCTCCCCTGGTAGAATTTTAGGTCACGAGAAGCTACCTATCCTTCAACACTTTGAAACGTTCTCCTAAAACCCAGGATGAAAGTCAGAGAATGCCTCACTTTCTTTTCTTTCTCAGTCTCTCCTGTGATGTCTCTACTTGTGTAACTTTGGGCAGCCAATCTCCTGTCCTTTCCCAGCCTCACTTTCCTCAACTTATATGTAAACATCAGGGGGTGGAGCACATGGCCTCCAAGGTCCTTTCCAGCCCACAATCCAACATGAAGGGAGCAGAGTTTTAGGAGGCAGTGATCACTTCCCCCCAAGGTTCCAATCATTTCTAACACGGTAACCAATTTCTTCTTCTTGATGATTAAAAACTGGTACTTTTTGAAGAACAAAATAATCGTCAAAGTGGGTAAAGAAATTATAATTCATATATATGTATTATATATTATTTATTATATAAATTATAGGCTTCCTTGCTTTTGGTAGAAAGCATTCTAGCAAATGTCTGGATAACTGAAGTTCCATATCACTCAAACAATCTTACCTATGTGGGAGGATTATAATGAGTTTCCTGCACTTGCTTATTTTCTTCTTTTTCCAGGTGCTCTACTGTAGGCTTCACCAGGGAATATCACCTGTTTCTCCATCCACTGATCTTCATTCAAATGCTCTAGACTCTTAATCTAGAGTCAATGAATTAATTTGAAAAATATTTTGATACCTGTATTTCAGTGTTTTCTTTGAAACCCTACGTATTTTATATGTTAAAAAAAATTATTCTGAAGAAGATACCACAAGGTTCATTAGACTGCTAAAGGGAAGTCTGACAAAAAATGTTCAAAACCTCTGCTCTGTATGGTCCACAGCATTTCCTGATGAAAAAAAAAATGACTTCTCTTCCTCCATCCACTGATCTTCATCTGTGTAAGTGAAAAAACATGTAAGCATTTACTGTGTGCCCAGCAATGTGCCAGAAATGAGATAAATCTAACAGAAACACAGACAAGAGGAAAAACATAGAACTGAACCACCGAAGCATTTAGATCTGAAAGACTGTCCTCTGAATGGGAACACAATACTCACCTCTCTCAAAATCACATGGTACCTTTATAAAACCACACCACAAATCAGGGTACAAAGAAATGAAAAATGTAAAAAATAAATGCTAGATGTGACCTTACGGATAAGAATAGATTAAAAAGAGTAACACACACACAGAGTACAAACAAGAAAAACTGACCTAAACAGGCACTTAACAATGACATCTCAAGTATCAAATGGATCAAAGAATGAATCACAGTAATAGTCATATGAAAGAGGATAACAATAAGACAAAACACTAGAATTTCTGAGAAGCAGTTAAAGTAGTCCTCAGAGAAAAAGTATATCCTGACAACATACAGTAAAAAATGGAAAAAGAGAGGATTAGTGAACTGAATATGTAATTAATAAAATTAGAAAACAAATAAACACCAAAAAGGCATAAATTCAGAAAGTAAAAAGACTACAGAACTGATAAACAAAACTACAAACTGGTTCCTTAAAAAAAAAAAAACTAATAAACTGGATAAACTTTTTACATCACCAGGTGAGAGGGAGGAAAATTAAATTAACGATAAAAAAACAAACACTATGAAATCACAACAAAGAATATTAATTTGAAAGGTTTCTCTTCAATACTAATTCTCTGGTGCAGGCTTCTGCGTTAGCCAAAGGCCTCCCCACATTAATTGCAGTTGTGGGGTTTCCCTTCAGTATTTTGTGACAGAAAACACAGGATATCTGAAGGTAAAAATCTTCATTTGTCATAAACATACTCTCCAGTATGACTGCTCTGATGTTGATTACATCCTGTGTTGCAACAGGAGGCCTGCCCACACTCATAAAGCTTTTTTTAATCTAGTACAAATTCACTAAAGTTTAATAAGCTTTGTTTTCCTATTAAAGTACTTTGCACACTGATTGTACTGATAAGGTTTCTTACTCCAATATAAATTATCTAGATGTTGAATAAAGTATTTCCCCTAAACATAAAGTTTATCATCACTCATTACATTCATAAGGTTTCTCTTCAGTGTGAGTCTTCTGGTGTCTAGTAAGATCCGCTCTCTGCCTATAGGCCTTCCCACATTCATTACATTTATAAGGTTTGGCTCCAGTATGAATTCTCAGATGTCGGGTAAGCTGTGTTCTCACACGAAAGGCCTTCCCACATTCACCACATGAATATGGTTTGGCTCCAGTATGTATTCTCTGATGTCGAGTAAGCTGTGTTCTCACACGAAAGGCCTTCCCACATTCATTACATGCATAAGGCTTCTCTCCAGTATGAATTCTCTGATGATAAATTAATTCTGCACTCTCCCAGAAGGCCTTCCCACATTCATGACAGTCATAAGGTTTCTCTCCAGCATGAATTCTATGGTGTCGAATAAGTTCTACCCTTTGGGGGAAGGCCTTTCCACATTCATGACATTCATAAGGTTTGTCGCCAGTATGAATTCTCAAATGTTGACTAAGTGTTGCCCTTCGGGAAAATGCTTTCCCACATTCATGGCATTCATATGGTTTCTCTCCAGTATGAATTCTTTGATGGTAAGTAAGAGCTGAACTGGTGGTGAAAGCCTTACCACACTCATTACATTCATATGGTTTCTCTCCAGTATGATTTCTTTGATGCAGTGTGAGCTCTGCACTTTGTCGGAAGGCTTTTCCACAATCAAGACATTCATAAGGTTTCTCTCCTGTGTGTATTTTCTGATGTCGAGTAAGTTCTGAGCTCTGGCAGAAGGCCTTCCCACATTCATGACATTTATAGGGTTTCTCTCCATTATGTATTCTCTGATGTTGAGTAAGCTTTCCACTCACACGAAATGCCTTGCCACATTCATTACATTCATAAGGCTTCTCCCCAGTATGAATTCGCTGATGTCGGGAAAGCTGTTCACTCAAACGGAAGGCCTTCCCACATTCATTACATTTATAAGGTTTCTCTCCAGTATGAATTCTCTGATGATAAATTAATTCTGCATTCTGCCAGAAAGCTTTCCCACATTCATGACATTCATAAGGCTTCTCTCCAGTGTGAACTCTCTGGTGTTGGTTAAGCTGTGCAATCAGACGGAAGGCCTTTCCACATTCAGGACATTCAAAAGGTTTTTCTCCAGTATGGATTCTCCGATGTTGGGTAAGCTGTGAACTCTGCCAGAAGGCCTTCCCACATTCATGACATTCATAATGTTTCTCACCGGTGTGAACTCTCTGATGATAACTTAGTCCTGTTCTCTGGCGGAAAGCTTTCCCACATTCATGACATTCATATGGTTTCTCTCCAGTGTGAACTTTCCGATGATAACTTAATCCTGTCCTCTGGCGGAAAGCCTTCCCACATTCAGGACAGACATAAGGTTTCTCTCCAGTATGAACTCTCTGGTGATAAATCAGACCTTTCTTCTCACGGAAAGACTTTCCACATTCATTGCATTTGTATGGTTTCTCTCCAGTATGAATTGTCTGATGGCAAGTAAGATGTGCACTCAAGCGGAAAACCTTGCCACATTCATTACATTCATATGGTTTCTCCCCAGTATGAATTGTCTGATGACGAATAAGGTGGGCACTCTGGCGGAACACTTTCCCACATTCATTGCATTCATAAGGTTTCTCCCCTGTATGAATTGTCTGATGTCGAGTAAGCTGTGTGTTGAGGCGGAAAACCTTTCCACATTCATTACATGCATAAGGTTTCTCCCCAGTATGAATTCTCTGATGTTCAATAAGGTGTATACCCAGAAAGAAAGCTTTCCCACATTCATTACAAATATAAGGTTTATCTCCAATATGAGCTACCTGATGGGAATTACTGGATGGGCTGCTACTGAAGGCTTTCCCACAGTCATGATATCCATATGTTTGTTCTGCAGGATATAGTCTATGATATTCAATAAAGTCTAATTTAGAACTGAAGGATTTCCCATACTCATTATACTTAGAAAATATTTTCTTAGAGCAGATTCTATTACATGAATTTAAGTCTGAATACAGACTGATATTCTCTCTGCCTGTATGACAATCTTGGAGACTCTCTCCTACACACGCTCTTTGCTGTGGGAAAGTGGCTGGCCCAAGACTGAAGCTTCTGCCATAAGTGTTGCATTCTTGGCCTTGTGCTTTACTGGGAGTGTTCCTTTGGATGATTTTTCCCGGCTGAGAATGTGTCTCCTTGTTGCTCTGCTGTTTCTTTAACCCTGTATCATATCCCCAGGCCGCTCTGAAGTTGCAGACTAAGGAACCAGGCCATCCTGTGAATCTTTTCTGAGATGATGTTTCCATAGAGATGTCCAGCTTTGGAACTGATTCCTTGGCTTCAGGCCTAGCCTTCCAATCTGAAAGAAAGAAAAGTGTAAACAACCCCATGTATTCACTACCTTACACTTACAGCTTTCTTGCTTCTCTAGGAAAATAAAACCAATGGTTTAACCTCAACAGGAAAAACAAATAACACCACCTTAAGCTTGTTGTAGACATTTATAATTTGTATAATCATCATTCACACTGATTCTCAAAACCCCATGTGAGATAGGTGGGTTATTACATTTTATAAATGAAGAAACTCAGGTTCAGAGTGACGTGTAGATGTCCCTAAGGTGCCACAACGAATGATTGGCAGAAACAGAAGTGGAGTTTAAATCTCCTCTTCCATCCTAATGGATCTACCCAAGGAACTGAAATGAGTGTGGATAAATACTGAAATAAGACTGAAGGGTCATCAACGACAAATAACATTGAGAAGATTCCTGAATTGATTGGGAGGCATGGGCTAGCCAGGCCTGCCCTTTAGTTTCCAGGAAAAACTAAGATAATAAGATTCTAAATGCTCCTTATTCCCAATAAACACATTTCTGAGCCTGAGGAAGGCAATAAAAGAACAGAGCTAATTCATACTGTTTCTTTTCCCTCAGATTCTCCTCTGAGGTTTTCTCTTTCATTTCCTTTTGTAGAAATCCAGGCTCCTGTTACACACAATAGAGAACCCAGTATATGACAAAAAAAGAGGACACAGCTGCAGACAGTATGTTTACAGGAACACAAATTAATTATTGATTTCATTCCAAATGTCTCAGGGAAACAGCATGAAGGAATGAAAAGAACACTGCCCTTGGGGTCTGAATATGTGGGTTGAAATCCCAGCTCTCAGGTCTGTTACCTATGTGACCCTGGGCAAATCACACAATCTCCCTAAGGCTTAGTTTCCTCATAAATGAGGAATAAGGGAATTAGACTACATGATGTCTGAAGTTCCTTTCAGCTTCAGATATATAATCCTATTATCTCACAATCAAAGAATTCAAGTTGGAAGGGACCTCATGTGGAAGAAAAAGTCTTCTCTGCATTTGTTATCTGCCAAGACAAAGGACCCCTAAGCCAAGGACACTGACAACACTTAGAAGTCACCGACCTGAAAAAGAAATGTGGCTATAACCCCAAAAGTGGCCTCCACTGAAGAGGAACCTAACATTCCCCGAGGCAGCCCGGTCCAATTTGGGAAAACTTGGATGTAGTGACAGGATGAATGGCAGGCTGCCGTGACTCACGTACTCGGACAGTCACTCCGTGGGACGACATCTCCCCCTGCCATCCGAGGTGCTTCACCTCGCTCCAGCTGGTAGATCACATCCGGCTTTGAAGCTGCCAATCCTGTTCAATGGAAATGGAAGGGCTGTTGACAGGGCCAATCTGTAATGCATTCCTATCTTCTCTACTGTCAGGGAAGGCCCACCACAGAGATAAATCAGGGCATTGTGGTCCTGGGAGATGTGAAGAAAGGGGTCACAGAACAGATCTAGCCTTAGTTTATTGGAACAGCTCCCTCAGAGAGTGCAAAAATTTCATGGCCATGGGAACTAAGATTCCAGGCATGACTCTGGACCTCAGGGAACCACTGGTAGGGAAGGCAGAATCTCAAGGGCAACACAAGCGAGCAGCTAGATTCCAGTTTCCAAGCAAAGATCCCCCACAGACGGAAGCTCTCTGAGAGCAGGAACTGGGTCTTTACTTTCCTTTTGGGAACAGGTGACATAAAAGTTTTAGAAATCTTTGGTTTTGCCTGCTAAATTAAATTCACTCACCATTCAAGCCACCACATAGCATTTCCCAAAGGAAGAATCAGACCCTTGCTGGGACAGTCAGAATCCCAAGAAGGGCCTGGGTCCTTACCCAGGCAGACCAGGTTCTGGTAGTTCTCCAGCATCACCTCCCGGTACAGCTCCTTCTGGGCGGGGCCCAGCTGCCCCCACTCCTCTGGGGTGAAGTTCACAGCCACATCCCTGAAAGTCACCGAGCTCTGAAACACCAGACATGTAGGTGCTCACCCAGGGACCAAACCTCATTTGGTGACAGAGACATGTTCTGTGGTCAGATGATTTGGTTTCCAAACCTGCCTGAGTGACACAGGATGAGTCACTTTAATCTTGTCGGGCCCCAGGCCCCCCATCTCTATAATTTAGAGGGCTGTATTAAAGAACCATCGAGGAGGTCCTTTCCACCTCCAGATCCATGATCTGATGACACTGTACTACACGGGCCACTTCTGACAGTGTTCAGGCTAGAGGGAGTCTAGGGTGTCACAAGGCAGACTCAGGGCAACCCAAGCTCTCTGCCACATCCCAGGGTTTAGTGAGCCAGATGTTCTGGGGCAGACCACGGACAGCAGGATCTAATTCTGAGCCCCACTGGGCAAGGAGTATGTAAGGACCCCCCTAGGCCACAAGACACCTCTATGCCGTAGCCTCAGGGGGTTGCCTACAGCTCTGTGGTGAACAGATGCTGCAACCTGTGGTACACAAGAAGTGAACATGTGCATTGAACGTACTATCAGAAAAAGGAAAACAAAACTTCACAGTGTCAAGTCAAAGAAAATTTCCTAACAGAGCTGTCCAAAACCAGACAGGTGACCGCAGGAAGCAGTTGTTCTTTCTGACTTCCACGTCCAGCACTCTCCCCACCCTGCCGCCTGGCTGCTAGGCTCTCAATATTGTCAAATGAGGAATAGGCCCTGCCTTCAAGAAGCAAACATTCAGGAAAAAATATGTATATAGAAAAGCTTTTTATGCATCTACTGATTTAACCACATGATTTTTGTCTTTTTTGTTATTAATATAGTGAATGACACTTATAGTTTTCCTAATACTGAACCAGCGCTACATTTCTGGCATAAATCCAACCTGGTCATAGTGTATAATCTTTGTGATATGTTGCTACAGTCTCCTTGCTAATACTTTATTCAAAATTTCTGCCTCAAAATTCATTAGTAACTAAGCCCTGGAATCAGAGATATTGGTCTATGATTTCCTTTCTCCATTTTGACTCTTCCTGGTTTACATATTAAGACCAGTCAATCAATAAACTCTTATTAAGTGCTTCCTGAGTGTCAGGCGCTGTGCTAAGCACTGGGGATACAGAAGGAAACAGAAGACAGTCCATGCCCTCAAGGAGCTCATAACCCAATGGACAACACAAGTAAACAACTCCATACAATCTACAGAGAGGACACAAAGGACATAACTAAAAGAGGGAATATGCTGCAATTAGGAGGGGTTGGAAAAGACTTCTGTAGAAGAGGGATTTTAGTTGGAAGCCAGGGAAGGCAGCAGATGGAGAGAGAGCATTCCAGGCTGGGGCCTGGAGCTGAGAGATGGAGGGCCTTGTTTGTGGGACAGCGGAGAGGCCAATAGCACTGGATGGAAGAGTATGGAGTGGAGAGTAAGGTGTAAGAAGACTGGAAAGGCAGGAGGGGCCGGGTCATGAAGAACTCTGAATGCCAGAGTATTTTGTATTTGAATCTGAAGGCAACTGGGAGTCACTGTAGTTTACTGAGTGAGGGGGCATGTGTGTGATGTGATCAGATCTGTACTTTAGGAAAATCACTTTGGTGGCTGAATGGAGGCTGGACTGGAACGGGGAGAGGCTTGAGCCAGGCAGACACCCCCTCCCCACCGCTGTAGTATTGCCATGGTCCAGCCTTGAGGCGATAAGAGTTTGCACCAGGAGAGCGGAGAAGGGGGCACACTGGAGATGGTGCAGAGGTGAAATGGACAGGCTTTGGCAACAGACTGGATATGGGGCGGGGGGGCTGGGAGAGAGAGAGAATGAGGAGTCCTGGATGACTCTTAGGTTGGGAGCCCAAGGGACTATGAGGATGGGAGTGCCCTCTACAGTGATAGGAAAGATAGGAGGGGAAGGTTTTGGGGAAATGATACTGAGTTTGGTTTAGGTCACACTAAGTTTAAGGTGTCAACTGGACAACCAATTCAAGATGTCTGGAAGGCAGTTGCATATGTGAAATTGGTGATCAGCACAGAGACTGAGCAGGACAGGTAGAGTTGAGAATTATTATTAGCAGAGAAATGGTAATTAAATCTATGGGAGCTGATTCTGGACAAGTCACTTAACCCCAACTGCCTCACCAAAAAAAAAAAATGAAAGAAAAAGAAACAAAAGAGCAGTCTCTAGGGGAGCTAAGCTTAGCAGCAGATGACTTTCACCCTATGGACTTGTCAGAGCTTTTGAAGAAATAAAATTTATCTCAGCTCCTGGAATATATAATCATGATGCTGTTTCTTCCCTGGACAGCAACAATCCAGCAGCAAGAAATGGTCCTCAGCACAGTGCTAGCTGCCAAGGGCAGAGTCCAGGCCCTGGGGGGGAAGGGTGTTCTCCTGACACTCCCGGCTCATCTGACCAGTTCTCACTTGTCTCTTCACCTCAAGGTGGCGTCAGAACTCCCCAAGATGAACCAGGGCACCTACACCTCAGGACGGTTCCATCTCGGGGTCCCCCGGCTCATCATCATACGTGGACTCTTACTTTTACTTTGTACGATGCTGCCAGACTCAAACCTGGACTCATGGTCAAAGGAAGTTTAGTTCTGCCCCATGAAGAAAACACAGTATATACTCTGAAATATTTGAAATGACAGAGTTTAAAGAAAATGAAATCAGGTCTCATGCAAGCTGAAACCGGAGGTGTCCTGGCCGGGCCAAAGAGGCATAAAACAGCAGATTCTGAAATAGGACATGGTCTTACATGTATAGGTACGTGAAAACTTAGGAAAGCTGAACTGAGGAGGGCTCTAACCAAAAGTGAGCTCCCGTTCACCAATCAGAGGAGATGGCCCACATGCAGATATCAGCAGACCACACAAAATGTATTTTGTCATGTGACCAAACGCAGCTGGGCTTGTGCTACTGGCCCAGTCCAGGCCTGAACCTGAGTGTTCTGTGACGGTCTCACACCACAAAGGCACCGCTGACCGTTTTTTGCTGGCTAGGCCCAATTCTTGATTTGTAACTTTAACGGAAGTCTGCAGCTTGAGGAAATTGCTAAGAATTATAGGGAAGCCCCGGAAGAGCATCCAAGTCCAAGACATTCTGTGCCAAACCCAGGACACTTGGTGAAGAGAGAAGCTGATCAGGAAACTATCCTCAAAGCAGCCGTTTGGCCTAACTAATAGGGTAAGGCTGAAGGACTCTGGTTATTCACTGTAACAGGACCAATACACTAACACTGCCAGAAGCCATCGCACACAATCTGTGCGAAACAAATCCCTGTAGATGAGCGTGCCCAAGGTCTACAGGGGCAAAGACTGACTTTCCCTACCACGTCATCTCAAATGCGCTTGAAGTAAATCATGTCCTTTGGCCGACCAATGACCGAAAAACACCGGCTGGGATTCTTGAGCTGTGATTTTGAGGAGACAAAGGCCCACAGAAAACCCTGAACTTGAGACTCAAGATCTGAGGGACCCCAATGAGGGACCCACGGAGCCAGCTGTCCCCAGAGGCTACATTATTATGAGATCTATTTGCATCCCTCTCAAATTGAAGCTTAGTGGATTTGACTGCCTTGGTAAAGGAAAGAGTTAACAAGGGTGTGTGTGTGGGGGGGAGGCGTGGACCTGTTGCCTCTCATCCCTCTTTTCCTCAGTCTCTTTTCCTGTAAAATAAGGGCTAGGCTAGCTGACCCACACAGTCCTTTCCAGCTCTAAATCTATTATGAAGCAATCATTTCCAATCTTCTGTAAGATGACTTCTCAGGTCCTTTCCAGCTTGGCACCAAAGCTTCTCCAAGGGGCACGATTTCGTGAATTACTGCCTTTGAGACAGCAGGTATCTGCACCTCGAGGACCCTGCTGCCACTTACCTGGTGGGCCGTGGCTGTCAGGAACACAAGGGCCATTCCTGACTCCAGGACGCTCACTCCTCTTGGGAAGGGCAGTCTATAGCAGGCAGGTCTGAGGAGGAAAAATCATCAATGAATGGGGTTTGTCCAGCCATGAGGCTTCCTGATATGCTGGCTACCTATGCCCACATACCATAAGGTACTGTGCTAAGGCATTGAGAATACAGTCAATCAAACAATAAACATTTATTACATGCCTAACATGTGCCAGGCACTGTGCTAGTACAAACAGAGGCAAAAGATAGTGCCTGCCCTCAAAGAGCTTACAATCCAACTGGGGACAACAAACATGCACAAACTATACACAGGACAAATAGGAAATAATTCACAGAAGGAAGGTATTAGAATGAAGGGAGGGTAGCAAAGGCTTCCTGCAGAAGGTGAGATTTGAGAGGAGGCCAGGGAAGGCAGTAAGTGGAGATGTGGAGGGAGAATATTGCAGGCAGGGGACAGCCAGAGGGAATGCCTGGAGGAGAGACCAGCCAGGAGGCAGGTGCCAAGGACTGGAGAGTATGTGGTGGGGAGTAAAGGGTAGGAGGGGGCCAGGTTACAAAGGGCGATAGGGAGCCCCTGGGATCACTCTGGATGGACCAGAGTGGGGGGAGACCTGAGAAGGCAGACTCCCCTGCCCCCCCAGCAACTAATGCAACATTCTAGCCGTGAGGTAATAAGGGCCTGCACCAAGGTGGGGGCAGGGTCAGAGGAGAGAAGCAGACATGTTGGAGAGATGTTGTAGAGGTGAAAGTGACAGGCCTTGGCACCATATTGGTATGGGGGATGACAGTGAGGAAACCAGGATGACATGTAAATTGGGAGCCTAGGGGATTGGGAGGATGGTGTTATCCTCAATAAAAATAGAGAAGGCAGGAGGAGGGGAAGGTTTAGGGGGAAAGACAATGACTTCTGTTTTAGGCATGTTGAGTTTAAGATGTCTACTGGTCATCTAGTTCGAGAGGTCTAAAAAGCCATTAGAGATGTGAGATTAGGCACAGGTAGAGAGAGATGGGAACAGGAAAGGTAGATTTGAGAATCATTAACATAGGGATGTTAATTAAATTCATGGGAGCTGATAAGATGACTAAGTGAAGTAAGAAAAGAGAAGAGAGCCCAGGACAGACTCCTGAGGAACACCTAAAGTGGGAGGGCTCGATCTGCATGAGGATCCAGCAAAGGAGACAAGAGGAACAGTCAAGTAGATAGGAGGACAACCAGGAGAAAATGGTATCCTCAAAACCTAGGGAAGAGAGTATCAGGGTTAGAGGGCAGGGACGGTCTTTTGCCTCTTTTTGTAGCCCCAGTGCTTGGCATGGTGCCTGACACATAGCAGGTGCTTAATAAATGCTGACTGATTAACAACGTTAAAGAATGCAGAGGTCAAGAAGACTGAGGATTGAGAAAAGGCCACTGGTAACTGGTAACTTTGGAGAAAGCAGCTGCGTGGACTGATGAGGTTGGAAGCCTAAGTGTGAGGGGTTTAAGACAACGAGAGGAGAGACAGTGGAAGCATCTCGGCCTTTTTGGGGTTTATCTACAAAGGGCAGAAGAGACACAGGACAGTTATCAGGGATGGAAGGATCAAGGGGGCATTTTTTCTGTGAGGGAACAGAAAATAGTTCAGAATTCAAAGACAAAATAGAAACTGTCCCATCCCTCAAGAGCCTTAGACTAAGCTGGGAGATTTTCCATGCTGGAGAAAAGTGATACAGCACAAGGGAGTCAGAAGAGGTCTGGGCTCCAATCACAATTCGCGCCTAAGGGCATGAACTTAATTACAAGGGACCCAAGCTTCCTTAACTGGGAAATAAGACTACGAGCTCCACAACCAATCATCAAGCTGCATCCAACAGGCAGGATGATCCGGCTGGGGCTGCAAAGCAAGGCAAAGGCAGTCCTGGGGGCCAGCCACAGTCAGGAAGCCTGACTAGCCTCACAGGGGAGAGTAAGAGCAGACAAGCAGAAAGAGCACCAAGAAGGAGCAGGGTCATGAAAATTCAGAGGCGAGAAGACGTCAGAGGTGGCAAAGAAGAGACTGAGGGTAGTCTCACCAAGGGCAGTTCCACTTAAATGACAAAGCTGCAGTCCAAACTGCAGAGGCCTTCAGACCAGCGGACAGAAGGGAAGAAGGCTTTCTCAGAGTTTAGCCAGGAAGGGGAGAGCTATGGGACAACATCTAGCAGATCCAGTGGGATCCAGTGAGGGTTTCTCACAAATAAGATAGACATAGGCAAGCGCTGGCTGACAGGGAGATGCTGAAGATTAGTGAAAGAAAGAGAATGATGGAGGAAGGCAGTATGTCAGAGAAGACAGGAGGGGATGGGCTCAAAAGTGAATGCTGAAGAGTTTGGCCTTGGTCAGAAACTGGACTAAAAGAGGAGGAGGTGATCAATAATACTCTGTGAGATGAGAAGAGAAAGTTCTATGAGAGCAGGGAAGTGTGAGGTGAGGTAAGGGCTCAGTTGAGGGGATAGATGAGATAAGGCACCCGCCACACTGGGCAAACCACAGAGCACTACACAAGGTCAACTCGACACAGGCAGAGAAGTACAGAAAGAGCTCCAGGGGGAAGAACCCTGACCAAAGGGGTGCTGCCCCAAGCTGAGGCTTGAAGGAATATCAGAACTGGGAGAGGAATGCATTGCAGCAAGGGGGATGGACTTCACGAATGAAGAAAGGAGATCAGGAACCCCCAGGGCTAGCATGCCACGCCGTCTGGCCACATCACTGGCTTGTGTGACAAAGCTGGCTTTAGAGAGCGTTACTGCCCCCTGAGGAGTCTGCATTTTATCCTCCAGCCCAGTGGCCGTCCAACTTGTTAAATCACAAACCCCAGCAGGAATTTCTGAACCTGGACACAATGTGTGTTTTATTTGCTTCTTTACAAAAACTACTGTACTAGTTATAGACATTATAAAACCTAAGAAAAATCGAAATTTAGAGGAAATAATATGTGATCCCTGAGTAAATAGGGAGCCAATCGAGTTTATCAATTAATCAATATACATCTATTAAGTGCCTACTATGTGCCAGACACTCCTCAAGGACCCCACAATCTAATGGAAGACAAACACGCACACAATCACATACAAAGCAAACGATACGCAGGAGACACAGGAGAAAATTAACAGAAGGAAGGTACTGAATTAAGGGGGTTAGGGAAGGCTTCCTGCTGAAGGTGAGATCTCAGCTGGGATTTCGGGGAAGTCAGGGAGGCCTGAATGGAGGAGGATGAGTGTTCTAGGCAGGGGAGATGGCCAAAGAAAATGCCCAGAGATGGAGGGTCTCGTGGGTAGAACAGCCAGAAGGCCGATGACACTGGATCAAATGGTACCAGTAGGGGCCAGAGGTGTAACAAGACTGGAAATGGAAGCGGGCACTGGGCTCTGAATGCCAAACAGAGCATTTCACATTTGACCTTGGAAGCAGCATGGAGCTCTTGGAGTTTATGGAGTAGGAGGGTGACAAGATCAGCAGGGAGGGACCTAGTCAAACCTGAGCATTGTGAATGTCCCTTTGGTAGCTGGTGGACACTAGTGAAGTGGAGAAACAGGAGGGAAGGACCAAATCAGAGACCACTACAGGACTCCATGGGGCAAAGCCCTGAATGTGGCTGGTGGCTGTGAGTGGACAAGAGGGAAGAGGCGAAAGATGCCAAGGAGATGTCCGAGCCAAGATGCTGCAATTGGCTGAACTCCAGGGAGGAGAAGGGCCTGAAGACGCCCAGGGCTACAGAGGAATTGGGAAGGGTGTTTGTGAGCCCTGGCCCTGCCAGGTGCTCTCTCCCTATCCCTGTCCACCCACTGCAGCCACCAGGTGGTCTGAGGCCATGGGGGGAGGGAGAAATCTTTCCCAATGGTCCCTGTACAGCAAAAACCTTCCTCTCGCCCAAAAGGGGGGCTGCTGGGGGCTCAAACAGCATGGGAGGGTGCTGGGGGATAAGGGCAGGAGCTTGTATGGGAGACAACCCCCAGGAAGACCAGGGAGCTTCTCCCCTCCTTAGGTGACAGTTCACCTCGAGGTCAGGCCTCAGCCCTCACTTTAGGCTAGAACTGGAGGCCTCTGGAGGGCAGGGGGAAGTCAGACTGTGCTTTGTTCACTAAGATGGCCTGGGCACTTGTGTGGACCACTGTGCATTGGCATGAGGAGGTCAGGGCCATCCCAGGACCCCCGGAGGGAGGGGAGGAGGAAGTGGGGGAGAAAGAGAAGGAAGTGGGGGGTGAAGGAAATGGGAGGGGAGAAAAAAGGGGGGGGGAGGAAAGTGGGGAGAAGGAAGTGGTGGAGAGAGAGGGAAGGGGGAGAAGGAAGTGGGGGGGTGGAGGAAGGGAAGAAGGGGGAGAGAGAAGGAAAAGGGGGGAGGGGGAGAAGGAAGTGGGGAGGGAGAACAAAGCGAGGGAGGGGGGAAGGATGGGTCCCAAGCAGGAGGTGCGAGGAGACTGGAGTGGAGGGGTCGGCCCGCCCCTGGATGGGGGAGGGGGCAGCAAAGAATTGTCCGCAAGGCCCCCCCAAGGCTGGGGGTGGGGGAGGGGATGACAGAAAGAGAAACCGAGGCTGAAGTTCCGGGGCGGGGCGAGGGCGAGGTGAAGGGGAGGGGTCTAGGGAGGGGGCAGTGAGCGGGACCTCCGAGGTGGAGGTCTTGGGGCACGAGGCCCCTGAGGGTCCGGGCCGGCTCTCACTCACCCAGAGGACCCTCCTCAGAGGTGGCCTGGAAGGGTCAGGCAGCGGGACCTCAGGATGCGGAACAGCAAACGGAAGTGACGCAAGAGGCGCCCTCCACCCAGGCCGGCCCCTCGTCGGTAATGTCTCACGGGAAATGTAGTCCGGCGACCAGGGCGGCTTGTGCGCAGGCAGGGAAAAAAATCCTTTGGTCCCGCCCCAGGATCACGTGGACGTCCAGGCCCTGCCCCCCTCTGGAGGCAGCCACGCCCCCTGGCCAAGGTCTTCCTGACTTGGAGCTGGAGGCCCCCTGGCGGCGGCTTCCTGTCCTTCCTGACCTATAACCTAGGATTCCCGCTCCAAGAGGCTGGTGGGCCCTCAGTGAGCAGGCCCTGGGCTGGAAACACGCTGTTTGCCCTCTGTGGGGAGGGGGAAGGGAGCCAGGAGACAGCCGGGCTGGGCCGAAGTCAGGGGGCGCCAAGTTCAAATCCAGCCTCAGACCCAGATGACCTGAGCCGGGCACCTCACCACTGCCTGCCTCAGTTTCCCCCCGGAGTCATGAGGAGCAGATGAGAATCTTTCTAAAGCGCCAAGGCCCAGAGCGAGAGCTCAGCAAAGTTAGCTGTTATTATTTATTATTATTACTGCTATTGTCTTAAACCCGCGAAGCTCTAGGTGCAGTTGGACCTTATCGTGACTCAGTTTACCTCCAGAGTCCGTCTCTTGGGGGACAGAGGAGACTATCCAGTTTTTCTGGCAGCGAAGGAAGCTGGGATTCAGGGCACTCTCAGAGGCCTCCAGCAATGGCAGGATGGTGGGATCTACAAAGGGCTTCTCCACCCAAGGAGGACTGCCGCCTTCTCACCCTTTCCTCCCTTGCCCAGCCACCCTGGCTTGCCCGGGACACTGCCATCCGCCATGTTGCCATCGTGGCCCACGCTCTGTCCCTCCCCATCCTCCGCCTTCAAGTCTTCTCTCAGGCCCCGCGCTGGACACGCTTCCTGGTCCCTGCAGCTGCTGGGCAGGGGATAGATCTAACCTTGCGGTCCCCAGACCGTGGATCCAGAAGAGCCAGACCAAACCATGAACCTTCACCTTTTCAGTTATGTGTGGAGGCCATAGACCATAGCTCTAAGGAGGATGCTCAGGCCTCCCCAGAGGGCTCCGCCACCCACAGCACCTTTGCTTCAGCATGTGGTACCTGGCCGTTTGCATGGTTACAATCGCTAGACATTATATAGCAGCTTAAGGTTTGCAAAGCGCTTTACAGATATCTTATTTGATCCTTACAATGACCCTGGGAGACAGGTACTAGTATCCCCATTTTACAATCGAGGAAACTGAGGCAAAATTTCCTTCATAGTTTGTTAAAGTGTAGGCCTTCTGATGTTGATATTGCTTTACTTGTCTTTTGCTGTTATTCATATTTGCATGGGTTCCGTGGCCACGCACAAACATCTGGGACAAGTGCATTTAATGTGTCCTATGTGTCATTTAGACCCCCAGTTAACGAAGCAGCCTGTGGGTGATGCTTTATGCTGTTGTAGGGCTACTGCATATGTACGCCTCCTGTGAATGTCATTGGAGATAATCACTGCAGTGTTGGGTTAATCACTCTTGTTCTGTTAAGTGCTGGTGTTTATTTTCATGTTCTCTTGTCCCAAGTGTCAATGTAATTGATTTTACAAGGGACTGCAAGATCTCTGGTTCTGGGGAAGAGTGTTCTTGAGCGTTGGTGGAAGCGTCTGCCGGGTGGTGGAGAGGACATGCTTATTTTCTTGAGCTTCTGGAGAGCCATTGCTGAGAGCTCACACCCGCACCTACTGAGGGCAGAGGAAAGACTGAGAGAAGCTCTGATAATGTGAGGAAGGCTGTGAAGAGGCAGTGGGGGTCAGGCTGTCCATGCAGCCTCCACACACCGGTCTCCCCCGCATGGCCTTCCATAGAGCTGAGCCGCCACACAGGGCTTGTGCCAACTGAGAAAGCAGTCTCCAGGACCCCATCCCAGCCCTGTCAGGGACCACTCAGAGGAGCAATAGTCCCCGATGAACAGAGCTGACAAGGGCAGTTGCCAGGCACACGGTAGCAGAATCACAGTGGAGAGGTCAGCATAGTCCTCCAGAACCAGAGGGAGCACGAAGTGTGTCCTTCTGAACTTCCCAAAGGTGTAGATCCAAGATGGGGATTCCATTTCTCGTTTCCCATCCCTGTGAGGGACATGCAGTCATCTCAAGATTCTTGGAAGTTCATTTCATGTTTTTGATCACCTGGTTTCTAAAAGGTGGTGTTAAGACAGGACATTGAGAGCATGTATATGTTTTGCTTGCTCAAACATATCTGGCAAAGCAGGGCAATGCATGAGTATAACATATACCAGAGAGATAGAAACAAATGAGAGAGACAAGGGAGGAAGAGGGACAGGGGGAAGAAGGGAGGGAGAAAGGGAGAGAGAGAAAGAAGGGGAGAGCAGAAAGCCTTCTCAAACCCAGCCCTGTTTGGCCATCAGGCTGGTTTTACTCTCTTTCAATAAAGAACCCAGCACATTTGCTGAGTGACATCTGGAATGTGTCTGGCCAGTTCAGGGCTAATTTTTTGCTTAGAGCTGGAGTCTGCTTCTAGGGTTTGGGGGGGATGCTGAGCAGATGCCCTTACCTCAGGTGTTCACAGCCCAGAGCAGCCTGCTTGGGAAAGCTTTTCTTCTCTCTGAGGCAAGGTCTCTGGGGCCTAGGACAGGGCCTCACTCTTTTGCTCCTCAGCGGGCCCCTATTATGTCCCCAGTTTCTGGTTCAAAAGATAAGGATATTTTAGTCACTATTTTCATAATTCTTAATTGCTTTCCAAAATGGCTGTACATTTCACGGCTCCACCAGCAACAGTGTCCCTATCGTTCCACAACCCCTCCAACGTTGACTACTGCCATTTCTTGTCATCTTTGCCAATTTTCAGGGGGTGAGGTGAAACCTCGGGGTTTGGGTTTGCGTTCCTATTATGTGATTTGGAACACTGGGGAATAGCTATTAATCACACACACACACACACACATGCACACACATGCACACATACACACACACACACACACAGATTGTTTCTACATCTTGGATACCATCTTTGAACAGGGCAAACCAAGGACTGGGTTCCTCTTCTGTTTGTGGTCATCTTCTCCAAGGAGCTGCCAATAAAGTTCACCTGACGGCCCCAGGATCTCCTTATCTCTCACAAGGATGTCAGCAAGGCCAGGAACATCCCCGTCAGAGTCACTGTTTGCTTATCTGGGCTGAAAAAAAGAAACCCAGCAGAAGAGGCCTTATGAAACCGACTCACAAGGCTTGCCAGGATGAGCCCCTGCTCCCTTCACGGGGACACCCAGGGAGATGCAACCTACACCTGCGGGATGGTAAAGGAGAGAGTGCCGCGGGGTGGAGTCAACCTTTGAAGTCTGCTAAGTCCGTGGTTGTGCCTCAGGGGCCAAAGCGGCGGTTTCACCAGAGGGCCAAGTGTCATGCAGGTGGTCGGCAGGGAGGCAGGGTGGTGATGGCCCACTACACTCTGCCCGCAGGTAGATATCTGGGCTCCCTCGGCAAGTCAAGTGTGGGCCACTGGGGGCATCTGTCGATTTCCAAAGCCAGAAAATTTTGGGGGCAGACTCCGGTGTTGCACTTGCAAGACCCCCCCAGCCAGTGTCTTGCAGTAAGGAGTCACAAGCCCACATGACGCAGTTCTTAATGGCCTGCCAAATGCCATTTTAAAGGATCTCAAGTGGGCCATTCTGCTGAGATTAGACACCGCCAGTGAGTCAGTAAAAAAGCACTTATTAACAACGACAGGGAGCATGTATATGGTGCTTGGAGGTTTGCAGAGCACTTGACATTTTCTCCTTATCTGACCTTCACAACACCTCTAAGGTAGGTGCTGTTCTTATCGACATTTTACAGATGGAGAGACTGAGGCACACAATAGCTAAGTGGCCTGGGTCATGTGGCTAGCATCCAAGTTCTGCCAAGCTGCCTGCCATGTGCCAGGCACGGTGCTAAGTGCTGGGGACACAAAGGCAAAGACGGTCGGGCCACAGTCTCCCGGGCAAGAGAACCAGGGATAAACGAGAGCTCCCTTTCGAGGAGGGGGGTGGGAAGGTGCTGGGAGGAGCGGCTGTATCCGTGCCCTAAAGCCAAAGAGCCAAGACACAGATGAGGAGAGACTTCTGAGCAAGGGCAGCCAGCGAAAGCACCTCGGGTCGGGACCCGGAGGGTTGGATGGGAAGGAGTGAGGAGGCCAGCGCCCTTGGATCACGGACCACACGGGAGAAGGGAGGCAGCAAGGGGCCAGGTCAGCAAGAGACGATGTCGCCTGTGATCCTGCAGGTAACTGAGTGGAGGCTAGAGTGGGGGTGAACGAGGTGGACTGACCCGTCAGACTGCAGGAAGATCACTCTGATGGCTGACTGGAGGTGGAGGGGAGGGGGAAAGAGACCTGAGGTGGTGAGGGCACTGGCATCATGGCATTGCCGCAGGAGAGACTTCACAGAGCAGATCTGACGGGACTTGGCGGGAGACGGACGTGGGGGCAAGAATGAGGAGTTGAGGACGACACTCAGATTGGAAGCCTGGGTGACCAGCGGCATGGCGGTGCCTTCAACAGTAATGGGGAAGTGAGGAAGAGGGCAGGGTTTGGGGGAAAACACACGAATTCAGTTTTGGACACAGAGCACGTAAGATGTCTGTGGGACACCCAGCTCAAGACACCAAATACAGGCAGTTGAAGACGCAAGCCTGGAAGTTGGGGGATTTTTGTGAGGGCTCCTGTCTGTCACAGCTGGTAGGTCTGGAGATGAGGGGTAAAACTCCTAGAAGAGTTTATCATCAAAACAGAGTAGGTTCACAACACAGAAATAAACCAGCCTAACAGTATAGTGTTTGATAAAGCCAAAGGCATCAACTCCTGGATTGAGGGCTCACTATGTGACAAAAACCGAAAATCAGTCTGGCAGGAGCTGCATTTAGACCAAACTCTGACACCATATACTACAAGAATCTCTGGAGGGATGTAATATCTCAATATTAAAAGTCACATCACAAAGAATTCAGAGAAATGAAGGACCTCTTGCAGCTCTGGACTAGGGAAGAACTCTTGACCAAGCAAGAGAGTAAGAGTATCACAATGGAAAAAATGAATAATAATTGATTATATGAAACTAAAAAGCTTTTGCACAAATTCAGAGAACTCAGAAAAAAGTATCTGCAGCAGGTTTCTCTGATGAAGGTTTAATATCAGTCATACAAGGAAGTGATTAACATATATGAGAATAAAAAACCATTCCCCCACATATAAATGTTGAAAGGACAGGAGCAGACTAATCTCGAGGTTATCAACAAGGAAATAAACTAAGGGCCAGCACCTTGGCCTGCTCAGCTTGGCAAAGATGGCAGAAATGCTAAATGGCAACAGTTAGGAGAAGAGGCACACTGCTGCCACACGGTCAGAGCCACGAACTGGCCCAGCGTTTTGGGGTAGCTGTGTTACTGGGCCCCAAAAGTCATCACACTGTATGCTGACCCAGCAATACCATTGTTAGGTACGTACCTCAAAAGGATCAAAGAAGGAAAGGACTCAAATGCTCAAAAATATTTACAGCAGCAATTTTTTAAGTAGCAAAAACTGGAATAAAGTGGGTATCCATCAATTGGGGAAAAGCTGAACAAATTATGCCACATGAATGCCATAGTCTAAGAACTGTAGGCTACGAAATGATAAAAGGGATGGATCCAGAGAAATAGGGAAGAATTGGTATGAACCAATGTCACAATTTACCCACTGACAACACGGTAAAGGAAAAGTTATGAAATAACTGAAATCAGTGCTGCCGCCCAACATGACTCCAGACAGCCAGCGGTGAATCCCGCTGTCCACCTCTTGGCAGATTGGTGATAGATGAGAAAGCAAAGTGCACGTTACTGGAGCTGGGAAGTGCGTGTGCATTTGAAGCGCTGAACTAAATTCTCTGCTACACGAGAGGCTTTAACTTCTTGGATGAGCTGCAGTCCCTAACATCAAAGAAAAAGGAAAGCATCCAAAAACATTAGCCAAGAATAATGACAAGTTGTTCATTTTTGCAGGATGCCTCCCACATGGATCAAAGAGACTTAGAATCAACATGAGTTTTCCGATGTGGATCAAGACGTGGCGGTGACTAGAATCCTGCGTCCGATGCCATGGTGCGCTTTCTATCCCATGCGAGTTTTCTGATGTCCAGGGTGGTGGGTGTGCCAGTGGCAGGCCCTCCCGTGTTCCCGGCACCCTGAGGCTTCTCTCCGGGGTGAATCCTCCGATGGATGCGAAGCGATTCATGGCATTGGGAGCTTCTTACAGTTGTGGACTCTCTGATGTCGGACAAGCCGTTTATTTTTGCAGAACGTCCTGCTGAGTTCAACACATCGAAAGAGTCTCACTTCGGCGTGGAGTGTCCTATGTCGACCAAGGCCTGAGCTGAAGTAGAAGTCCTTCCCACATTTGTTGCACTCACACTGTGTGGCTGCAGGATTTCCACATTCAATATATCTGTGGGATTCCTCTCCAGTGTCAGTTCTGTGACAGGAAAAAACAGTTGAGTTGGGGGTTAGAGGGTTTCCCACATGCACTATTTCATAAGGTTCCTCTGTGGTACAGATTCTGTTTTTCATGAAGCGTCTTCCTTCATTCATCCAACCTTCTTTTGAGCAGATTACATTTGCAAAGTCCTGAAGAGAGTCTGATGCCTTCTCTGGCCCAGGTCTGGCCCTGCCACTCTCTTGCTCCAAAAGCTTCAGAGGCTTCCTATTGCCTCTCGGACAGATACAGACTCTTTTGTTTGGCATTCGAGGTCTTCATAGTATGGCTGGAGCTTCTCTCTCCCTCTAGGCTGACGACATCCCTACAGACTACCCTTGGGTCTCCTTCATGTCCCCATGTGCCACACTCCACAAGCATTAACCATGTAGCAGTCACTGTGCTCAGCTGTGGAGACGTGAAGACAAAAGTCCCCCCTTCCCACAGATACACACACACTCACACATGGCATATGGTAATTGAGTACAAGGTGACTTAGTAGGGAAAGAACCAATGAGTGGGATGCGGGTAAAGGGAAGGCCTCATGCCAGAGGGGGTTCTTGCACCAAACCCTCTTCCTGTGAGAGAGCTTCCCTGATTTCCTGCACCCTCGTAGTGCCTGGCACACAGTAGGCAACTAATAAAAGCTTGCTGATTGTCTGATTAAATGGTACATGTCTGAACACAAGGAACAGGAAAACCAACCTAGAAGGGAAGGGTTTGAAAGGGTTGGAAGGATGGGGGGATAGGAAAGCCCCCTGAAAAGCCAGGCTGGGGCTAATGAGCTCTAAGAAGCATCCAGTCCTCAGACCACTCCTGGATCTGACTCCATGTGAGACTCTGGACAGTGACCAATGAGCAGACAGACCTAGGACCCCAAGAACTGACCCATGTCAAACTGGACATTCTGGAGATCACAAAAGAGCCCGGGGTCAGAGACCCCCGGGAAGACTGGGCTGCACTGATGGGGGGAGATGAGCAGAACCCAGAGGGCCATGTGTATGAGAACAGCGACACTGTGGGAATGGACAATTCTTAAAGGCTTAAGAACAGGTCACCTCAATGACCAGCCAAGATTCCAGAGGGCCGAGGAGGAAGAAGGTCACCCACCTGCGGGCAGACCTTGACAAGGTCAGACCCAGCAGGAGTGCTCTGGACAGTGTGGGAGCGCTGGCGGCGGGGGACAGATTTTAAACTAGAGCGAGCTGGCATCAGGGTGTCATCGATGGGGCAGGTGCCTGAGAAGGGGGAGCGGCTGGGATCCAAGCCACTGGAACCCCCGGGCTCTGAGCTTTGGACAGCCGGTCATCCACGGCCACCACAGTCACTGCACCAGCTGCAAAGCCTGAGTGGATGACATAGCGGCATCAGGAGAGTGAGAGGCCAGCCTGAAGGTCAACGAATGGAGCCCGGGAGGGAGCGCTCAGTGGGGTGTGTGGAAAGACCCCCCGGGGCCTCTCCCTGCTCCACGTGGTCATCACACCGGGAGCCCAGGGGAGGGACAAGGAGGCTGAGGGCAGACCCACGCAGGGTCACGAGTGGAGTGGGGTCATCAGCCCCGGCAGAGAGTGTCGGAGCTGTGCCGGGGACTACCAAGTTGGAACTGAAGGGGGGGGCCACCCAGCCGGGACCCCCTTCCCTGGGTCAAGCTCAGACTCCTCATCCCCTGCTGGGAGGTGGGGAGGGCCCTAGGACTCCTTCTCCTGGGGCAGGGTCCAGGTAGGAGGGCAGATCTCCTTGGTCCCCCCATCCCCATCCCCATCCCCTGCTGGGAGGGGGGGAGGGCCCTGCGACAGGGCCCGGGTGGGGGGACAGACCAACTTGGGCCCCGCATCTCAATGCCCCGGTGGGAGGTGGGGGGGGCAGACCTCCTTGGCCCCACCCCCTCACCCAGGCAGGCCAGGTGCCCGAAGTTCTCCAGCATCACCTCTCAGTACAACTGCTTCTGGGGGCCCAGGAACCCCGAAGGGTCACCATGACGAAGGGGATGGGGGGAGGCGGCCCGGGCCCCCCCCCCGCCCCCGTCACCTGGTGAACCATGGTGGCCCTGGGGCTGGTTCCAGAGAGCTTGGGGGGATAGACCGGAACGGCCGGCAAAGCCTCATGGGAAATGTAGTGCTGTGGCCGGGGTGCGCATGCCCAGGAAGCTCTCAGCGGCCGTGGGCCAAAGGGGGGCTGACGTTACACTCTGCCGCCTCCCCCCCCCCCCCCCGTAGACTGGGTAGGGGGGCTCCCGGGTCTGGAGCAGGGAGGGACTGGTGGCAGCCAGCTTGGGCTCAAGCTGGTAGAGAGAGTACAGGAGACACTGTGACACTCGAAAACTTGGGCAAGTCCCCCCCCCCCCCCCCCCCCCGTCTCAGTGTGTTCCTTGAACCCTGCCAGGACAGTTCTACAGACGGGTTAGGGACAGTGACAGTGGGCCTCGCCCTCCAGCTCCACCCTCTCCAAGGGGCCTTTGCGGATCCTCCAGCGGCCCCAAGTAGTGAGTGAGATAGAGAGAAGAGAGAGAGAGAGAGAGAGAGAGAGAGAGAGAGAGAGAGAGAGAGAGAGAGAGAGTGTGTGTGTGTGTGTGTGTGTGTGTGTGTGTGTGTGTGTGTGGTGGGGGATGAATGACAGGGCCGCCTTGAGTGCCGGGGTAAGGGTGCTTATGCTGGCCACACCTTGGAAATACCTGGAAGGAGGCCAGCCTTTGTGACTCCTTGAGAGCCCCCTTTCCCTGGGCCATTCTAATGTCACCATCGGACAGGCCAAAAACCAGCCAGGGGTTGGGGCACGTGGACAACTTAGGGGCTCAGACACCAGGAATTTGGAGGTCTTCATTTTATATGTATGTATGTGTATCTATATCTATATCTATATATATCTATCTATCTATATATAGTATGTATGTATGTACATATGTATGTATGTATGTATGTATGTATGTATGTATGGTTTCCCCAAAAAAACTCTCCACAGTACCATAATCAGGTTTTATAATTAAATATAACAACATGTAAATGGAAAACAACCATTTAAAATCCCAGCCTGCATAACCATCAACGTTCAGCTACACAGGTAAAATCAAAACATATAAGTACCCAGACAGTATTTAGAGTTGTTCTCTTTTAAAGGGGCAACAACCTTAAGAAGACAGTTCCCAAACCTCCCCACTCATGTCCCCCTCTGCTCACTTCCCCTCCCACCAGCGCTCACACTTGCTGCCCTTCCCCACGTGCATTTTTCCCTTCCAGGGAAGCCTCCACACTTTTGTGCAGAGACTCAGCCACACAGGCTGCTCCCTCCCCTCATGCAATACATGGGCTGTTTTCAGTTTCTCATAATTCCAGAGCACTACACTGGCAGCCTTAGGTTAATTTGGAACGGGAAAGTCATTAAACTCATATGGCATAGAACATGTCACTGGCTGTTTAACCATTATAAATTCTTTTGATTAGCATAAAGCATACCTGGGAAAAGTCCCTAAGTAAATGGCCCCTCATTTAGGCCAGAAGATTGAAGAAATATACCCTAAAACGGCCTGAGAACATGGTGTTTTATCTGTGGGTTAGTAGAAGGGTAAACGGAGATGATTTGGTGGTGGGGGCAATTTTCCATGGAGTCAATAAGAGTTGGTGGTACAGGGAGCCAGCGACCCATTTATTTATCCATAAATCTAGGGAGAATCTGCCCTAGAAAACCAGACATTAAGTGGCATATTATCAAGGTATAGGTGAAACCTTTTTGGTAGGTAACACAGTTCCATAAACATTCATTAAGACCAGCTCCATAGAGAGGTAGTGTGATGGCTAGAGAGCCGTCTGTCAAGCCAGGTAGGCCTGGATTTGAGTCCTGCGTTGGACAAACGCAGCCCTAGGGAACCTGGTCAAGTGCCGGGACCTCTCAGTGCTTGGGGAAACTTCCTATAAGACTCCAGGGTGCAGAGAAGAACCCAACCTGCACAAAGGAGGGGGTTTCCTTGCCCTCTTAACCCCCAGGCCCTGTGCCCTGGCTTGTATCAAGCTCTCTGCCAAGTGCCAAAGAGAGAGAAATCTTAATTAAGACACAATCCCTGCTTTTATAGAGCTTAGGATCTCAGAGGTAGAGTTTTTAAAAAATAGATTTTATTGATATAGTTTTTACATTGTCTGCATTTCCCACTCTATTCCTCCCATCACATTCTGCTCCAGCACGTATCAGAAAGTCTCCGGCCTTACGACACAGTATTTCAGAGCCACACCCTCGAACTTCTGCAGAGGCGTTGGGGAGCCGTCTTCTCATCTCTGCTCTTTGGGGCCAGGTAGAGTCCTTTCCAATTCACAGCATTCCATTGGGATGGCTTTCCAGTTGTTCTTCCCATTTTAATGTGGGAATCATGGCCATGGTTTTCTTGGCTCCAACTCAGTTCATGGAGAGCTTTCCAGGGTCCTGTATTCATCACGGGTGTTGTTTCTTACAGGATGTAAGATTCCATTATGTTCTCTTGCCAGTTTGTATAGCCATTCCCCAGTGGATAGACACCTACTTTGTTTTCAGTTCTTTGTTACCATGAAAAGTGCTGCTATAAGTATTTTTGTACGTCTGTCTGTCACTGACTGCCTCGGGTTACAGGCCTAGCAGCAAAATCTCAGAGTCAAAGGGTGTGGTCATTTTAGTCACGATATGATTCCAGATTGCTTTCCACTATGGTTGCACTGATTCACCACTTCACCAACAGTGCATCAGTGTGACCATCTTTCCACCAACTCTCCAGCAACAATTATTCCCACCTTTTGTCATCTTTGCCAATTTGCTGGGTGTGAGCTAAAGCTTCAGGGCTGTTGTGATTTGTATTTCTCTTATAATTAGTGATTTGGGGTATTCTTTCATATGGACATTAAAAATCTGCAACTCTCCGCAGAAATGCTTGTTCACATCCTTTGATCATTTAGGTAGGTATAACTCTAATACAAAAGTACCAAATGCTGTGTAAGGTATGAGTTGGGTAAAAGGCTGTTAGTTGACAGGGGAATTAAGGAAGATTTAAAGGATGTTGCAAAATCAGAGTTTAGCCTCAAAGGAGTTGCAGGAATCCAGCAGGTAGAGACAGAAAGAGAACATCCTGGAATACGTGGAGAGTATGAGACACGGCTAGAAGGCGGACTTGACAGCCACCCGGCGGGACCAGATAGCTGCCTGGGACACACACTGCAAACTCATTTCCTGGTCTATAATGTGGCAATAATGGCCACAGTGGGATCATATGCACAAGGAAGGCCATTGGTGTGATCTCTGGCAGTCAGTGAACAAGCATCAGTGAAGCGCCCCCTGTGGGCCCTGCGCTCCAGAAGCTCCCTAACAGAGACAACACGCAAACCCTCTACCTACGGGACAGACGGGAGGCACTCGCATTTCGGGCCTGGAAAAGGCTTCCTGGGGCACTTCTGTTCTCCCCGGGCTTTCAGAAGTCCCCAGCGGGCTCAGCAATCACATTGGCCAGTGCTTTCAGGAGCCAAGGCTGTAGTCCAGCTGGGTCAGTGTTCTGAACTCAAAGGCAACAAGGTGCTCTTGTTCCATCCTTCCCCATCTTGGTTACGGCTCCGTTTTCAGGAAGGCCACCCTCCTCAGCAGAGGTCAGGGCCCTGAGCAGCCCTGCCTTCTCTCTGGCCTCAGCTCTCGTCATCACCCCTGCCCTCCCCAAGCTCAGGGCCAGTGCCTCCTCTCAGCCTTCTTTTGTCCTTCACTTCTCGCTTGTTCATTCAGAGTTTCAGCACTGAACGCAAGTCTGACGGGTCACATCACACTCCTACACAAAGCCTTATGGCTCAGTTACCATCCATGCCAGACTCCATGCCAAGGCCGGCAGGCAGGAAACAAGCATTTATTAAGCACCTACTCTGTGCCTGGCACTGTGCAAAGCGCTTTCCAAATACTTTCTCATTTTAATAATCACGACCACCCCAGGAGGTAGGAGCTGTTGTTTTTACAGTTGAGGAAACTGAGGCAGTCAGACTTAAGCCACTTTCCCTAGGTCGCACAGATCTAGGTGTGTGAGGCTGACTGAAACTCGGGTCCTCCTGGGACAGTGCTGGACCTGCCGGCAGGAAGACCAGGGTTTGAAGCCTGCCTCAGTTTCCTCTACTATAAAATGGAGACACCTACTTCACAGGGCTGCAGTGAAGCTCGGCGAGGCACTTTCAAAAGAGCAAAGTGCTAACAGTACAGAGTAGCTGCTGGCAGAATGATGTCCCTAGGAGACATCTCTACACATCCAGGCACAGCAGTCTCTCTCTCTCTCTTTCCCAGTTTGTCCTGTGTCCTCCATTGCTACTGTCCCAAACGTCCCCACTCCTTGGGAGGGCATCACCGCTTGTGCAGGCTGCCAGGTTCTTGAGCTCAGCGTACCATCCTCAATTCTCCCCACTCACCCACCACTGCCTCAGCCCTCACCTCCTCTCTCCTGGATGATGACAATCCTTGCCTGAAATGTCCTTCCTCCCTGCTGCCCTGACCACATCACGCCCCTGCTTGGCCTCTAGGTTCAAAGACAAACCCTTTTATTTGGCTTTTAAAGCCCTTCCCCACCTCTTTCTCTCATTGCTGCTTGACGTCCTCCCCGGTTTCTCTACGGCCCCCTTACAGACGCCTTCCCTTCCCTCAGGAGTGGCTCGAGCACCACCAGGTGCCCTCCCAGTGTACCTGCAGCTAGTGCTTTGTGGTTATTTTTAAATACTCGTAGGGTGCTGAGGATGGCAGCTCTTTGTGAATGTGGCTTCGTTTTTTGTCTTTGTATCCCCAGGGCCTAGAACGGGTCCTGGACGTGCTGCGTGCCTTGTAAGATGCTGTCATTGGTGATATTTGTGCTGCTACCAGTCCTTGCTTCTCCTGCACATTTCTGCTTGGCGAATTCCCTGTGTCCTGTGTTGGCCTCTTCAAACAAAGAGCATTTTCTTTCTGCATCTTGGGCACCTCTTCTCCTGTAGAGTTTTAATCCTAGAAATGTCTGTCCCTACTACCACCTCCTTGCAGTCATGCAGGCTCACAATTTCTCCTCCTCAGCTCTTTTTTCTCCTACACTCCCAACATCCCAGCAGTCACATGGTCACCACGTGATGTGGGCCTCACTACCT